GAACGAAATCGCACTGGACGCCTAAGGACATGTAACGATCACAACTTATCGTTTATTCAGTGGGCTCAATTCCTCAGTTGGCAGGCTTGAGACCTCGACATAGACGTTGTTGCCGTGATTCAGAAACACTCAGTGATCGACGAGATCGAGTTTATGAAGAAGAAACGTTTCTGATCAATGTCCTGAAAGACATCTCTGCAGAAAGAAACAATGGATCTCTCACTACCTGCAGAAAAATATACAAAAAAAAATTTAAAGAGAATATATTCAAAAAATATTTTAGAGGGTATCGCTCATCTGGTTCCAATTACGTAACCCCCTTGTAAAATATATCTCCATCTAAGAGCGGATGTGGTGTAGTTGCAAGTAGTGCATAGTCACACATGTATGGTCGAATCCCAGATGAATACCCAAATAGGAACCGCATCTCTTATGGATAATCCCCAGAGTCTTCCATCCCCAGAGCGGTCACTTGATATCAGACTGATCTATTGTACAAAGGCAGTGGACTGTACATCGACTGACCGCCGCAAATCATTGTATAGAGCACATACTTAATACGCCACTGCAATTTCGATGGAAGCTGGGTGTAGGGAGGTGGGAGGGAGGAGCAGGAAGTGGGGCTGCACCACGAATGAATTGATTGACGCCTCAGACTTTCTTCTTTACCCTCGTCTAATTTTATGGTGATAACCTATATATCATCCATATATGTATACATAAAATTTTTATAATATAGCCGAGACGGGAGTTCGTCGTAAGCATCTCATCAAGTACAGCATAAAGCAACATTATCGCAGCGTTCAAAGAGAGACCAATTGAAGTAACTGTGAGGTAACCCGCTCCAGCCTGAATTCCATACTACTTCGTAATACCTACGCTTACAGTGATTAGGAATTCATTGATCCCATGTTGAGTGATTATTAAGCCCTTCGATAATTCTAGTTTCAAAAAGAAGGAGTACATTGCTGACTTTTTTAAGCATAACTTGAGATAATAGGAGAGTCGCAACAGCAGAGCAAAGCACCAAGGTAGCCGTACATACTAAGCGTGCGATCGTGGAGGGGGAAGCTTTTTCGTTTGCAACACATGTCATATGCAATTGCGCATGGATTTTCGTCATGCCTTACAAATAAAAGAAAACTAAGTTGCACTCAGAGAGCATGTCGCTCTACAACCACTTCATGTTCCACAATTGCTAGCATACCATGATGAGAATTCTATGCCTTCTCTCAATGTCGCAACGTAAAATGAGCATTACCACTATTTGGGAGCTTACACAACGAGACTTCACAAGACACTGCTTACCTAGTCTAATACGACCATCAATTTACTTCGAAGTGACAGCTGGCACTCAACATTGGCTTCGAGTGGGTTTCAGGGTTGCAGAATTTTGAATTTGCGGCCCTCCCGAGATCGATGAGCTTGCCCTAGAATGAATTTCGTAGAATATGAAAAAATCACAAAAATATTCGAGTGCGATATCGACAAACTATAAGAAGATTAATTCAGCTTCCTAACAGAAAAAATTCGCACTAGCGAAGTGATTGAAAGGATTTCGATGAAGAGAAATAAAATGAAAAGGTAAAGGCAAAGAGAAAGCCTAAAAAATAGAATAGGAAAGAAATTCATAAGCCACCCGCGCCAGAGAGCCACGTAGGCATGCGATCGAAGTGATTTGATTTGAGCCGCCCATGTCGATCGAATTGGGGGTCACGGGGTGGGTGGTCAGAAACACAGATGACCGTACAGCTCAAGTCAACCAACTCTCCGAATCTCAAAGTCTTCTTAGCCAACTTAGCCCAACTCCTGCCCCTTCCCTTTTCCAAGCTGATTCAAGTATGAGAAGACCGATTCAGGGTTGGCTTTTTCAGAAGGATAGGTAAATAGCCGTCGTGATTGAGGGTAATGGCCAGTCTGAGCAAGGCCCGATCTTTGAACTTTGAACCTTTTGCGAGCCACACATGCACTCCAACCTTTTGCTATCGATCAGTATGGGCCAAGAGAGGATAAGACATTATCGAATACCTTCATAAATCAAGGTATAAGCTTATTACATATTCAAATACTTCAACTATCCCAAAAGACATTCAGAGGGCGCCACGCTTCCAGCAAGTACCTTCTGAATGCCTGCTTACCCTTGCACGGATCTAGAAGAATTTCTAAAAAGATGTGATTTCTGACTCAAGTCCTGCCCACCGTGCCAGTTGCCCATACAAAGCCCCCGTAGCGTGGCTGGTTCGAGCATTCCAGCTGGACCTTTACATCTCAACCTCTTACTCATTACTCCAGAACCAACAGCATCGAGACCAGCCAAATACCACATACAGCTCCATTCCAGAGCAATTGTATAGGATTAACTGAACACAAGCTACAAGTACAAGGGCTCGAATGACGCACCATTGGGATGCTTCGTTCAGTCATATTCGCACAACAAGAAGAAGAAACCAAGCGGCAAATTCACAAGAAAACTCTAAGACGACAGAAATGTGTCGAAAAGCATGAGAGCATGCAAGTTCAATAGATTACTCAATAGTCCAGATAGGAAACGGATAATAACCGTACGATACTCCGTCAAACCATAACGACTTAGAAAAAATAAAGAATTTATTGCTGACATTACAACAAAAATTCAAAATGAATACAACTCACAGCCATTGTGGGTACTAAAAATAGGTACAAGCTTTCCACTCCTGTGTGGGGGTCCTCGTCCAAACTGCATTCCATGACCACTGGGACCTCACATATAGTTTTGACTCAGGCCGATGGGTCAGTCCCAATGTGCTTTCAACAGACACACTGAGGCTGACCCATCCACCCAAGTCAGACCCCTGGAAAACACGCTACTGAACCTATACCCTATTTTCCGTTATTAGAGTCCATAATGTTTTCCTCCCATCATGCAAAACAAAAGCTAAACAAACCAAAAACAGCCCCGATAATATCCTTCACGGCCTGTTTATCAACACATTTGCAAACAACACGTGCAAAAACGTTTCAGTGCGTGATTCACGGGCCTCCGCATTGGGCCCTTGGTACCCAAAAAGTCGGTGAATTGCACAAAAAATAAAACACTCCATGCCGATCACTGTCTAGACTATACAAAAACTAATAAACCTACGTCGTCAACACAATCTATTGATGCATTGAATAGCCCGTCGAATAATTCGTCAATAGGACTTCATGAATTCTATCCAAACAACACAAAAACTTGATCAAATTGAGATACTTAACACATTCAACTTCTCCTGCGAAGTATACGGTAAATAAGCGTCCACAGATTAATCAGAGATCAACTGTTTTTGTATTTTTCTACACCAGCAGCGCTCATCACACATATGTGATTTAAATCACGAAATTTCTGGTTATAGTCGAGTCCATAGCCAACAATGAACTTAAAAAATGCCGTTGGATCATCAAATAATAGTTAGCACCAAAAATCAATGAATAATAAAGAAAGAATAATAAAAAACCTTGTTAGGAATGTGAAAAGCGACAAAATCTTCTACAACATTTATTTTCCGTGGTACCCGCTTTGACAATAATACCGCCGTCCATACCTTTTTGGCACCTGGAAATATAGACCTATGCAAAGACCTGCCATTTTCTGAAGCTGAAAACGTTCCCTGCCATATTTCTTGATCCTAGTCACCATTTGGTCAGGATAGCCCTATACCTGCTTTCCCGAGCGTTCCTTAGTTCACCGTTCTCCCTCTTCTCTTTCTTTTACAATAGAATTAGTAGCTTTCAACACGAATATTGAAACTTAGTTCCGGGCTTAACAACTTGCGCCTCATTACTAAAACGGCGATATCAATAATTCTTAGATTGGGGTGTTCTCATCGTGACTACACTGTTACTAACCTGAATCGCTTCGTGATCAGTATTCAGCAAGTATTCGGAAATGGACTAATTCCCACATTCCCAACCTTGCACGAACCGAAATCACATGAGGTGTTAATTCCAATGGAAAAAATTTTCAATCGATATTCCACAAACAACCCGGAGATCCAATGGGAAATGATACTTAATCTCAATAAATATAATTTTATTCATGTGGTTCTAGCACTATGTCGATTAACATTGGTTCAGTTACATTTCTCGAACCATTACAATAGTAATTATACCTAGGAGATTGTAAATAATACAAGAATTGTGTTACTTACCGTATCCTTCCAAAGTGTGAATTAGCTTCGATAAAGTAAGACCAGTGTCAATTATATCATCCACAATCTAGAAAATATGTAATTACACTAATATGCTGTGTAAATCCACTATTTAGGAGAGGAGATCTGTAGCAACCTTTAAATCGACCCGCTACGTCTTTAAACATGATGAATTCTACTGGTTAAAAGAAAAGTGAAAGCGCGTGTAAAGCGTGTTTAGGAGAGTACGGATACAGGCTTCACAGAATAATCAAATCAATTAATCAAAATCAAAAAATCAAATAAACTCCGGTAAAGGTGCTCACCAACACATTTTTCCCTCGAAGTTCTTCTAAGTTACTGAGCCCAATAATCTGGACCGTTCCTGAACTCGCATCATCTTCATAGCTTTTGCACCGGATAAAATCGACGGTCATCGGTTCTTTGCAAGACCATCGGGCATTTGACAGCTCTTCTACCTTCAGTTGAGAAAAATAGCATAAAACATACCCAAAAGTGTGGAAAAAAGAATTTTCTAAGCAACGAACCAATGCATTGAAAAACTTGTAAGAACCTTTGAGTACGCAAAGTAGTGACAGCTGGTTCTCACCAATCGCTTCATGGATGTCTAAACGACACTAAAGTAGCAGAAAATGGGAGCGAGTTCAATTAACAACACTAGTGAGCTCTGACTTCATCAGTACCTCCACCGGGCTGATTCGAATAAAAACTACTGGGCGAGAATATTTTAAAAGCATTGGGTACAAAGGAGCCCTACTGAGATCAAGACTGAACGAAAAATACATGAAAAGCGGTTTAGCCTGAAAATTTGATTCGAAAAAAAGGCGGAGCCATGCTTGGGTTCAGCTCACTCGACAACGTTTAAAAAAAGGTTTCTCATATCTCTTTTCATTGAACGGCCCCACGAAAGAACGTCTTCGTAGGGGCATAATAGCTCACTATACTCATATACCACTGAACACTTACCTTTTGCCAACCGTCTGACTCGATCACGAATGAGGCCGTCAGTTATTAAAACAGCTGCTAGATCACCCGCATAACATCTGGGAATGTCGAAAGCGGATACAGGCATCTAAATGATAGCATACATAGATTAACCTGACGGAATCTATAGCAGACACTGCACAGTAGAATAAACCTGCAGAATCCGAAAACGATTAAAGTTCTTATTTATCAGAACTACACCAAAGTAGTAAACACACTTGTAAACACCATTAAAGCATCATTAGCTCTCATACATTACATGGCAAGATCAGGGAACAGTAAGGAGTAATCATAAGCAAAATAAGGATCAGCCTCCATTTAGGCATGACAATCACATCTTTCTTACCACATAGTAGAACGAAAAATGAAAGCTTCAATGGAAATATTTACCTCCAGAAGATAAACCTCAACAAACATGCTGTTCTTTTCCAGCAAATGACAACTCTCACCAAAAAAAGCAACTCAAACCAACCATGTACCTCAAAATCGTCCGGAATGATCGCATTCCCTTGAGCCATGTCCTGCAAAAACAGACATCAAATCGAAGCATGACGAAGAAGACTGAAGAGTAGTATACTTGGCTGATTTCTATTTAATGTCAGGTAGTTAACTATCTAAAAACCTTGATCTACCTAAAGACGAGACATCAAAAAGCAAAACAACACTGATGTCCAACCACCACATTGAAATTACACTGAGGATAACTTAGTAAATTACTGAAATCTATAGAGCTCAAGCTAGGGAAACTAAGAGAATGCATAGTAAGACACTGATTATAAAACTACGAATGTCTGTTTTTACTACTGGGAATGTCAATTGCAAGTAAATGTATGTGCATTAATCATTCCACACTGAATGGAAAAAGGATTATATTAACATTTTTGCATATGCAATTATATTTGAATATTGAATATTGTGAGTTTTAGTGATGTCAAAAAAAAAAACAATGCCAGTCCGCGATCGAAAGCGAAAGCGATGTTCAGCTGGAGACAAGGTACTGATAACTGCCGGGACTATCGATGACTTGCCCTTAGACCGCGTGATCTTTGAACCTTCAAACGATGGTTTCTGAAACCTCAATCGCCCTTCCGGTTTTTCCAAAAAAAAAATTCTCGGGAGACTCCTCCGTGAGGTGTAATTCCTACAAATGTACTTTGCCCAGCAAACAGATCGCCTCAGTATTGAGAGAAAAAGCGCTCATGATGAAGAGCTTTCTAATAGGATGATCTCCATTAAAGTGCTCATGAGGTAACGCAAACGTTCGCAACCAGATATCGTCTCCTGTCATTTCACGAGGGGAAAACGGTAGGGCTAAAATCAGGAGCTAGACCATACCAGGGTACAGCCCAACCCTCTTCTCGTCTCTCAAGTGTTGAAAAGAGTAAAAATGAATTGCGAAGTAAAAAACCAATGGAAGACGTCGGCTGGAGAAGTAGGCGTGAATGGGGTGGCATAGCTGAAATTCCAGCTATGCTCACCTAGAAAGCTCCTACAGCCATCCTCGCTTTTCCGACCAAAAACGAATCACATTAAAAAGCGAAAAGAAGATTCTAGAAAAGCGGGATGCAGTTTACAACTACGTACGATTTCTGAACATTCAAGTGGGAGTTACACTGACAAGTCATTGAAGGTCGATTTATCACAAGATAGTGCGTCATTCATCGGCCTAGCATCGAAGTGCGCTCATTCCCTTTCCCCTCCCACTCCGCTCAACATTTGCAAGATAAAAACACCGCTCAACCCTTGCATGATGGAAACATTCCCGTTTGCGGAGCAGAAGAAAGATAAGGTCGCCTTAAAAAATGCTAAGTACGGCTAACCGGAATCTGCAGACACCTCTTCCCATATCTCGCATACCAGATGAAATTATGTGAATTTACAAAGTGCATCAAAACTTCGTGATGAGTTGGCGATGTTCTTCATGGTACCTCTGTGTGTACCCGAACACTTCATGAAAACTATTTGAACCTTGAGAATATGTACGCTCCAAGAACATGGGACAAGAAACGGAGGATGCCAATTAGTCACGCACAACTGCACAGCCATCCGGTTCCGATGGGAAAAAAAGGAGACAACACTGCTCGAAAAACCAGGCAAAATAGGTAGCATAAGTGGCACCCGATCACCTATAGTACATTAGTATCGCATAAGGTCAAAATTGGGTCACCATTCGGTCAGGAACACACAAAACAAAAAAGGCAGAACAAGCGTAAGTATTGGACTAGCAATTGCCTGGAGTCCATAGGATAGAGCTTTTCGGCGTCGATCAACTGTTTTTGGAATGGGAACTTTCCCGTATTCGTCTACCATTCAGAATGGGGAAACTTTTTGAACGCGTACGTAGCAACCAAAAGGGCGGTGTGTTTGATTGGCATGGGCTATCAGCAATCCAAGACTAAATCCCCGTACAATGCGTGCGGTAGTGCGCCACTTGGTATTACATCACCTCCGCCCTTAGATGCTTGCAGTGTCTGGAATTTTTAATATCAGTATGAGATAACATACCATCAAAAAAGGCGAGGAAAGGGTGCAGAATGACTCTAAGATGCTCACTGATAGGCACGGCAAACACTGCAGGGTGGAGCATGCATAAAACAACATCAAGGGTACTGAATTCCCTACCTCACGCCACTGACACTCTATTACTCTGCAGCGGTGGGAACCTCGTAAAGCACACTTTCCCATCATTATCATACCTCTGCACTAAGAGTAGACTCCTGGGATGCTGGAATTTTTTCGAACTTGCCGCTTTCTCTTTCGTTTTTCGCCGCTGACGTTACCTGCGTTGACACTTTCATCCCATAACCCTTCGATCACATATTATAAAAAAAAAACTCAAATTACAAGTATTCCTACTCTTTCCTGCACTTTAAATGTCTTTTAAAGGAAGAATTGTTTAGTTTTACATAGTTGTAAGAGGTTTCAAATGTGCTTCCGTACTAGATTACCACCACACAAAAAGCACACCACAAAAATATACCTACCTTCATGATGGAGTTTACTTTTACGGACTGCGGAACTCCTGGAATTCTCGATAAATCATTCGAGAGATAAATTTCCATGATACAACATTACACTCCATATGAGTCAGAGAAAGACAACTCCAAAAATTGGCACCGATAGATTTTATACGAATATATTCATTAATACCTCAAAACCAACAGAACAAAAAACGAATCAGAAACAACTAATAACAAGGTATTTATAAGCAGTCGGAAACTGGTGTACGACTAAGACAGAAAAGACAAAACAATCGTCGATAACCGGTTGATAACAGCTCTGAAGTAGAGCAATCTATCAACAAATCTTCTCAGGGATAGCCCGAATAGAAACATGTGTACGTGCGGGATATCGGAACGTAAAGAACGGCTGCAGAACATATCAAATGTCACCTAGACGTCATATCCATCCCTTGTAATCGTTGATTGTGATACGATTCTCTTTTCGTCCACGTCGAACAGCGCTCTGTTTGCCTTTCACTCGAATCTTAGTCTGGAATGTACATATAGCACTTGAGCTCCCTTTTTAAGCACGAGCTGATCATCAGCTTCTAAGAACGGTCAAAGGCTCACGAGACTTGTCTTTTTTTTCCACAAAAGAAACCTAAAGTTGGACGAGTAAGGTGACAATGGTTGGAGAAAAAAGGAAAGAAAGAAAAATTGGGAAAACCAACCACAGGGAAATTTGCAAGATAGAGGGATACGAAAGGCGAACGTATGTACCCTATCGAAGAAGGAAAACAACAGCTGTTTTGGTAGGCAATAAAAAGAAAAGATTAAGAGGGAGAAAACATTAGAAAGCAATTACTGGATTTGCTACTTGCAAAATGAGAACATTACAAAGCATCCTTGAATGATATGGATGAGAAAAAGCGATTCGTTGAATCCCGCCTGGCAAGAGGATTTGGTCCTGAACCGAAACGGGACCAAATGTATCCCCCCCCNCCCCCCCCTCTGCGTTCGCTTAAATTGTTGCAGAACCGTCTTGGAGGACAACAGCACTGACGTGTTATATATTACGGAACTCATGGCAACCAATGCTCGTCGTATCGGGATCGATTAATTGGGCAGCGACTCATATGGGAAGGAGGAAACGCTGAGTAACCGAGAGCACCCACATTTTTGTCTTTGACCAGATCATGGAACAATCAAAGGGAATCCCATAGCTCGGATATCTAACGCGGAATTCAACTGCATGCGAATTTGGTGGATGCAGCGCCATATCACAGATGCGGTTACACCTGCTTCACTATCGCCTGTCATGAGGAACTTCTGCGCTGTGCAAGAATCTTAGCCAATATACAAAAATGAACACCATCACTCACTTTTTCTTTGTTGCGCAACTTTTCCAAAGCCACTCGCCGCCTGATCTCTTCTGGTGGGATCGTGGACGTTGTGGACAACATTGATGGAGCTTTCGTTGTTTTTCGTGGCCGACGCTCCACCTGAATCTCCTTTCAATATATTTTCGTCAACACAATCAACAAAGGCCACTTACCTCAACCTCTTCCGGGTGTTCCACTTCACAGGCTTCAGTCTCAATTCGGTCCAATTCTTGTCGAGCTCGAATGTACGGTTCACGATCCGGACGATTTTCACTCTCTCGCTCAACTTTTCTAGGATGAACGACAAGTGGGCACTCGTCCCCTGCAGAACCACTTTCTTCCAGAAGCAACTGGTCCAGCTGTGTTGTGGCCTCTCCTAACCAGTTCGTAAACCGCTCCGATTGGGAAAGCATTTGCGCCTATCAATCAATCGGATGTGTTTGTATACGTTCATGGATATGCATTGTGAAGCATAAACCTACCTCATTCTTTCTGTAGTTTTCCTCTTGTCGTAGTTCTTCATGATCCACATCTTCTTCAGGAATCGTATCACTTTCGTGCCCTGAACTGGACTCCTCTTCGTCGCTCTAAATTCCAGACGGTTAGTTAAAATTTTAAAAAATGGCACTCATACGATCCTGACAAAAAGAGAAAAAGATAAAACAGCGGAAAAATCTTCCAAAATCTCGCCCAAAAACCAAAAACAATTGTTAGCCGAGCGCATGTCAGTAGTAATTAAAGGTAAGATGTAAGTAAATCGAAAAATGCAAACCCACCTCTTCCTCGTCTTCATCTTCATCTTCATCAGAGTCCACAAACTCCGTTGTATCAATGTGTGCGCGGAAGTTTCCGCTATCATAGGCCTAGGTAACCGAAATGAAGATTCGCAAGATGACAGAGAATTAAAGGGAACCTTGTTCAGGTCGATATCCATTTGCTTTGTGAACCCACTCGCTTCCAATTCAACATCCAAATTGTATTTACGTACAATATCCGAGAATTTCGGATAGTCATCGCTATCATAGTCGAACTTCCGTCTGAAAAATATTGTTCTTGGATAATTAGTGCCATCACCTTAATTTGATGGCTACCATTCATAAAATCTATGTCACGTAGCAAGGGAGGCTCATAGTCGGACCAGTCTGTTGGAGCTGAGTCTGCCTATGAAAATTCCAGCGGATCTTGTTCCTCTTTGCAAGCAGTTGGAAAGGTTCGAGCAATATCAAAGGAATGGAGCATAATTTGGAAAGAAGGGAATAGGACCAAATCAATAGTCTACCAAACCTTGAACCGATTTGCCCATACAACGTGATTTGAACAGACAAAAGGCTGTAAATTCAGGAGTTTCAAGCTCTATCGAAAAGCGAGACAGCGACGAATGAGACGAAGTTGATGGAATGCTAATCAATAAAAAGCCCATACCTCTTACTCAAGTGAACGACCTAGGCAATTACTTACAATGGATACTTGGATACTTATAAAAACTGGTAAATGAGAATGAAGTAAAAAAATGCAAAACATGACTTTGAAGCAATGAATGCACTGAGCTTAAAGCGAATTGAGGGGGAGATATGCAAAACCGAGCAACTTGAGTGATGGCAGGTTGTCCAGCATCCCATCAATTGAATCAACGGACACTGAAGCCAGGTTTCGAGCACTTTGCTGTTAGTTCTTCACTTTTAACGACTACAGTTGTTGGCCACGAAAATTTATTATTCCAACAAAGCCATAAGCAATTTGCTTAATGGAGCTTGCTGTTCAAAGAGCGTTCTACAGCAACAACACCTCATTAAAGGAACCATTGATATAGGAGTTTGTAATCCCAGCCGTGAGGCAGTCAGGCAAAGAGCAAGGCTTAAACAACAAAATGCTCGAAGAGGTGGTATACATCATTAAATGATGAACGGCGCACATTTGCTTTGCTGGAGCTTTCATTTGCTGACCCACGTAGTGCGAGAAGTTCACAGATCAAAGTACAAAGGATTTCGAGAAAATTCGATATAAGGTCTCGCTTTGGGTCCGAAAAGAATCCAGAGCAGTATCGATTAAAACCGCAGTAAAACTGGCAGTAAAATCCGCTTGTCGCGAACATCGCAGGAACGACTCATTTTCTGCTTGGGCAGTAAGTAGCCAGCCAAGATATAATGTATTTTCTGCAGAATGTTTTGCTACCGAAACCCACAGTTCGACGAAACTTGGATATACTTATAAAGAAGTACAAATAAGTACAGAAGTACGTAATGAGATGAATGGGATGTGATATTTTTCGTCGCATTGCCTATCTCATTCTCAGATTTCGCAAACCAGCATGTAAGGCAGCGGTAAATCTGATCATCGTTTGAAAGCTGTGTTGTAAACAAAAAAAAANCAACGAAATACCGAATCAATGAAACGGCAAAGCTCATAAAATGCTTACTAACTTGAAAAACGTCCTCACACATTCGACATCTCGGTTAAAATAAAATTCTGCATTTACGTGGTCGATCGACACCATTTGTGGGAAGTCTATTACCACAACTTGCTCATTCTGAAAATATCTCAAAGTAGTGTCAAGATTTCATCTCGAACCAGGACAATTCTATTGAGAAAACAACTTCTTACTGCGAAAAAAATAAGTTCTCTCAAAGGGGAATCAAGATCTGGATGAGGCAAAGCACTAAACCGTGTTTACGCTGCCAGACACTTGAGTTTCTCTCTAGCTTACTAGAGCAATCAAAGAGGACTTTCAAGATATAAAAAGCTACCTTGAATCATTCAATCGGTAGAAGTGAACACAAAAGGTTTTTTCTCTTTCTAAGGAGGGATGAAATTCAATGAACTGCATTCATTTCACTTGATTACAGCAACTCTGAATACTGCTGACACTATCGTTTCCACGAAAAATCCTTTCTGTTATTTCAAGGCGCCACAAGAATGACTAAAATCAATTCGGCATTTCCCCTGAACACCCTGCAGTGTGAGAAATCCACTTCATAAAAACACCATGATTCGGAGTCTTTCTGGTGACTATACAACGGAGAACCACAATTAGTGAGTCTGTCAATGTTCTCGGGCAAATCAAACAACTTTTATTAGGCTAACGTTTAGCCAGTCGTCTTCGCCAGAGCCTCAGATTTCTTAAAGAAGACCATCTTTTAGACAGCTATCTGACCAAGGCAACTAGCCGAAACGTTAACCTTAAAAGCCTATAACACATCGGCCGAGGCTGAGCAACATAATATCATGCCAAGATCAATTGAGAGTCGAACATGGTTACAAAATAAGTACGTTACAATGTGGTCGATAGGTTTTGGATGAGTATTTGATTCTATCGAATTTGTCGACCAGTAACATCACCGTAGTGGAGAAATACAAAACTTTGTAGTAATCAATAAAGCGGCAATATTAAATAACCCATCTGTTGACAGCTTAAGCACCTTTCAGCTTTATTCTGTACCCTCCCGTAAGCCCCTCATAAATTATGCAAGAAATGCAAGGTAACTGCCCATTTAACCTTGAAAATCAAAACAGGTTAATGTTGTGCCTTTTGAAAAACTCAAAATGATCGAGATGATAGTGACCAGCTGACTCTAACCAAATCACGACCAGCCAAGTTCACGAACCGTGTTCTCCTGTGACGTCTCGCTCTGTCGTGACAAAAAGGTCACTCTGTAAAGCAAGCTCGCCTATTTTTGTTCTTCATTCTTTTAATTCATGATCGAGCGATTCTATTGTAGGTGGTTAAGCTTTTCTCGAAACATTTTCACAGTGACGCATTGACGCAAAGAATTTTTTTTTTTCGTTTTGACTGCTTTCAATAGGGGATCATAACCATACGGCTACTTTGTGAGAGATTTTGCGAGGGAGTGCAGAGGAATAAAGAAGGTTTTTACCGCCACAGGTCCCTTGAAAAATCCTCTCAACACTTGATAAAGCGATAGTGTACAACTAGTTTCCTGATTTTTTCTATTCGCGCTGAGGATAGGAATCCGTCAAACCTCGCAACTCAATGGTAGTAAAACGTGGCAGGTCCACATGTTACAACAACAACTTTGAACAAGCCACCGAGTCCTTCGCCTATTCAGCACCTCTTTAATGACTGCGGAAAAGGGCCTTAGCGAAAAATAAAAACAGGAAAATTCATAGCGTTACTAACTTCTAAAAGCATTATATTGAACTCGTTGAAATCGCCATGAATCAGACCATGTCGACCGAACTTCACAATTATCGACATCAGCCTGAAGATTTCGCATAAACGCGAAGAACTTTTGCAACTTTGAAGTATATGAAAATGTTAATAGTAACAACATCAGCCGTATAACAGAAGTAAACAACTAGTAGGCGGATTTCAGAGCATTCAAGGTTCAAAAGGCAAATAACGCTGATGGGCAAACATGAAATCAATCCAAAAAAGGCTGACTCGGGTGCTACTTTTTACAGGCCTACAACACTAAACATTTACTGAATTTACAGTTAATCAGTTATTACCTGTCGTACAATCTTCCGACATCCTCTACATGATCAACATGGCAAAGAGTTCGTCCTTCAATTAGACCCATAACCACAAGATGACGACAAATGTCCACTGGGCGTGGGACAGGGAACCCACGGTCTGCTAACGCTTTCAAGAATGCGTACTCCTGGAATACTGTATTTTTCAGACGTAAAAACCAAGAATGAGCAAAATACTGCACTGCTCTAGTAGCCCCCGCAATCAACAAGTAAACAATAAAGATCACCTTGGTCGCTGCGAGCCGGCTTAGGTAAAGCCAAGAAGCAGAATGACGTTTCCTGTGATAATCACGTTTCTCCTTGATTTTTCGGAAAGATGTTCGACCAAGACGATGAAATTTCAAACATAAATCCTGAACACATCATCCAGCAAATTTATTTTAGTTAAATCAAAGATTAAAGATAAACGTACATTTCGATCAGGGTCACCGCCAACATATACGTCTGACTCTTTTCCAACTCCAATTTGATTACCTACACTTCCCACAACACCTCGAGTGCAAAGCGCTTTCAGAGCAAGGAAATCGTATCCGAGAACGGTCAGACGGTATCCATCAACTGAATTTGTACTTTCAAAAAAAAAAAAACGACCAATTCGTTCTTTTTGAGAATTTTAGAATAAAGCTGGATAGCATTCTCTAGTTCATATTCGAAAGGTGCTATACATGGAAAAGACCACAACCTAACTTTCAAAAGTCCTTGAGAAATTTTGAATTCTTTCAGAGAAAAATAGTGTGCTATACATGGGAACAGACCACAATCACACTTTCAAAATCCTTGAGAAACTTCGATCCTTTTTAGAGAAAAATACTGCCCCTTGAACGCAAAAGCGAAGCCTATAGTGGTAGATTTCTTCTGAACACGTCCAACATCCCCCACTGTAGCAATACGTTCCCTCAGTTTATGACCGTCCCCTCGTTTGCATGTAACGGAATAACACACAGCAAAGAAAAACAAGCAAAAACGAACACTTTTTACTCCTCTCGAACGCGACGAGCGAATGTTTACATAGAGTCGATAGAATTCGAGCAACCGCTCCTCGATGGATCCCTGCTATTGAGGAAATCAACGGCAAAGGAACAACTTCATGATTTTTCATTCCCATTTCGACCTAAAATTACGGCTAATACTTCGACAAAAATCTGACTCGGCAACTGCAAAACCCAACTATTGCATCCTGAGCTTACATCCAAATAAAACAGCTTTTCTGGTGTAAAATCTACTAGTATCTATAATGTGTATGCGATCACAGGCTTACAAACCCGCAGTACGACGGATACCAGTCAAGTATACTCACAAAAATATATCGGCAGTGACGTTAACCAATTACGAACGTGACTCGATCCGTTTCTCGACGGGATAAAATCTATGGGAGATCACTTTGGAACGTAAAAATTAATCAGGAATGATTCGTAAGTACCGTAAGGAACAACTATGACAAAATGCTTGTCAAACGTTTAAATTTCGTGGAACAAATGAGATTTGAGTGAAGTCAAACCTCGCCACTTCCTACCACTCTCATATGTAAACAATAAATATAAACAATGATGACCTTACAGCTATCAAAACTCGAAAGTCTTCCCTCTCCAGATATCGTAGTTTTTCCACATCCATGCGCCCCATCGTTGAAGATCAATATTTCCTAATGAAAAAGAAAAACTTGAAAAAGTTATATTAAATGCTTCTAGTAGTAAACGAGTAGAGGCCAGGTAACAACCATTGAGCATTAATAAGGGTTCCAATTACAAAATATATTTATTGAGATGATTAAAAACAAGCATACTTCAATCGGCGCACATTGTACATACAATATTTCGCTAGACAATACCAAATGTTCGTAGCAAAAGGCAAAAAGCAAATCATATCAATTGCAATTGTTATGCCTAAAAGCTGCTACATACATCTACTGCTCATGCACGGCGCATCCCAAATATTCAACGGCGGGCGAAAACGGGTTAGCAAAACACATAAACATTGGAGGAAGACTATTGGATAATTGTAAGAAGAAGCAAGGCAACATTTTACATCAGCTTTGATTTGAATTTATGCCAAAATAACGTGAAAATCCAACATTCTTACTGAAACCCTTTGCAAAAACCCAAAACTCTAAAGGAAAAAGCAGATTTGTCCCTTTTTGATCCCGTGCCAAATATAACCTCCAGGTTCAAAACAGTCTTACCAAGTTTTGTTCCTGGAATCTCCAACTATTAACTAATATACCATTCAGTTTGATAGATTTTGCAAACTGGTACTTCCTGTAAATAAGCCAAAACGCTTTGAAAAACTTCCCTGACAAAACCTTTCCATGTGGCTCAACCTAAAGACTTTTTCTCGAAAATTCCTATTTCAGTTCCGTTTCATATGACGAATGCTGAAGTCTCACATTTTCTTGGCATGCATTTCAATCAAAATGAAGGAAACTTTAATACAAAACAACAGCGAAAAAAGTATGTTTTGGTTTAATAGTATGACAAATTTGGTAAGAAATCGGGAGAGTAAAAACAACTCTGAGTCGAACATATCAGAAAATAAAGGCGGCGAGCTAGCTATGAAGAGATATACACACAATATATATTCACACCCGTTAACATCACCGACCCTAACTCTCCTTTACAGTGAATCACTTACTGCTATGGAGAGCACAATGAGGCAGCAAACTTTGAATGATTGAAATCTATATGAAAAATAACGTAACGCGGTTTATACAAGTATCGCGCTAATGATGAATTCTTCTTAGTAGAAAACCACTCATCTTATCTAATATCAAAGCAGATAATCACTACGAATTGCCATTTTGAAAAGGACAAGACTCTT